CCAACTGGCGACCGGGCCAGCGATCCGACCCGCAGGCACACCAATCAGGAACAAATTGATGGCAGCTGATCGGGGCTCCGCTCTAAACGCTTCAGCAGAGCGCCAATAGAGACGGACGTTCGGTCTCCGAGAGAGGCTCTTAACTGGTGTTCTCCGATGAGGTTTCGAAGACCGATGTTTGTGCGAATCGTGTTAAAATGAACGTATAAAATGGTTGAGAAAATACCTACGAGTGCTTGACCTACGAGTGCTCGTATGTGCTTGACGGGAAGTGAGTAAGGCAACGGAAAGCGGGCAGAGCTGTGGTGACGTTACAAGAAACGATGTGATAATGCCAACAGAATGCCCGGACAACTTTCCGGTGTGTGTTTTCCAGCGGTGTGTTTTGCAACGGTTTGTACTTTGGTCAATGGAATGAAGTCATGGACCCACAGTACAAACAAGATGATTAACCCTAGAACGCCTAGGGGGGGGGGTTGTATCAACCCCCCCCCCCTGAGGTTTTTTCGAAGTGCACGCTAAACGGCTTGTCGTAGCGGGCTGAAATTTTCAATACCCTCTGGGGCAACCTTTGCGCATCTTTTGCTGAAAAAAATTGATCGGGTCATGTCAGGTCACGGAGTTATGACGTCATAAGAGGTACAGCCTCCGGCCGACAGTTACCAAACGTGTGCGCCGAATCCCTAGGTTTTCTGCCGGTGATACCCACATTGTTTGATGGATCGTGATGAAACTTCCCGTGCATGTTGGGGCAAGTATTGGCTATCATATGGTATAAGAAACTTGACCGGGTCAGGTCAGGTCACGGAGCTATGACGTCACAAGAGGAACAGCGTTCGGTACTATTTTTGAAAAGCGCCCGAACCACTATTTTGCTAATTCTTGTCACCTCAATGGGAATATGCAGCAATATTAGCTTCTATAGGGAGCAAATGGACCTCCCAAATCCAAAAATACAATCAGATTTCAAAAATTTAAATTTTGATTTTTCGAATTTCTGCCGCCGACTGTGACCTTGCCGACTTCCGGCGCTCCCAACGCGCCATTTTTAGAGCTAGGGAAACGAAATACATACCAAACGATAGAGAATTGATCAAGGAACACGATAGTGAAGGTTTCAAGTCGATATCTCCCACCGTTTTGCCGCAATCGCCGCGGAAAGTTGAAAAAAAGTCTATTTTTCCGAAAATTTGACCTTTGACCGGTCAAAAGTAGGTCAAATGTTGACCTAGGACCAAAAAATATACCACCAATCGCGAGATCTCGGCGAGAGCAATCCGTTGGTCTTTTCCGCTAAGCTCTACGACCTTCCGTTTCGAAACGCCAGGGGGGGGGTCGTAACAACCCCCCCCCCCCTGGTCGTTCGTGTTATGAGAAATGGCCTGGTCGTGCGAGGGTTAAAAGTATAACGTAACTAGAATATAAAATGCTATGTAATAAACAGGTGGGTTGTAAGTTGCAACTCCACAAGCATGGTGATTGATTATTCCCATACGGTTGACATGTCCGCAGCTAATAGCTATAGTGGTAGGGAGCATGTTCTAACCAGTAACCAAGGTTCTAACAGTTGTCTTCAGTAGGTATGTACACTGGCGGTCGCAGCCGCTAGCAAAAGGGGGGGCCAAACTCACACTCGCGGGACATAACATTTATCCGTCACCGGAGGGGGGGGGGGGGGGTGTTCGGCTCACTTTTACCGTGATTTTTACGTCCACGAGGCTCCGCGCAGTTGGCCATACTTATGCTTCATCCATCTCATTCTTGCGTGGAATCTTTAAGCTCAATTTAAGGCAAAATCACCAGTTCCATTTCTCGTCCCACGGTGTTTCCACCGGTCGGGCCACTGCACCATGGCGCCGGATCGGTGTAGCATGTACTGGAAGGTCGGGCACGAGGATTCATGACCTTCCCACTATAAAACAATTCGGAAAAGTACAGATACCTACCTCTTGCTTTGAACAAGCATGTGAAACCCAGAGAGCATTTTCAGACTATGACATTTACCCATATACGAGTAGTTGTGTGGCGGCGGGAGAGAGTAGGTACAGTTCTCGCGGGTTTTAGCGGTAGGTTTTGCACCTAGAAAATTTAGTGTACTTCAGGCTACATCTTCGTCGTCTTAAGCTTTTAAGTGTTGAAGATGCGATCAACTTGTTGGTTCACAAGTCGGCCATGATAGTGTAAAATGGCTTCGTCGTAGATCGATTAGTTTCTGAGATATAACCGGAAATGCAAAATTGCAAAACCTACCGCTTAATCTCGCGAGAGCCGTACACCGTCCACCGACCTCTGGAGACCAAAGGTTCCTGGCTTTCAAAATTGGCATCTGAGGGCCGCGCGCGACTCCTGCGGGCTTCGCAACGGCTCTATTGGGGCTCACTCAAATGCCTAGTCCTCATGCTAAAAAGACTGGCCCTGAGCCCTGAGGACTTCATCAGTCTCTGCCAGCCCCAGGACCCACAACGGCTCATGAGGTCCCGACGTCGAAATATGAGTGAATCTACGCGGGACCATCAGGACGTAAAGTGATCTCGATCAGGACCAACGTAAGGCTGTGCAGGAGTCTGCGTAAGCCCTCTGATCTTCAGAAGCCCACCCATGTATGTTTTCACTTAGAGGCCAGTTTAGGGCGCTCAGAGACCAGTACAGGGCCTGCAAACTGCAAAGGCCAGCAGTTTGAGACCATCAGAGACCCAGTTGGGCTCTCAGAGGCTAATGTGGGTCCTTACTCATTACAGGCCAACATGGGGTCCTCAGAGGTCAGCGTGGGGCTCTAAAAGACCGGCATGAGCCGTCGTTGGACCCCAGAGGCCAGCAGAGGGCCCTCGAAGGCCAAGATGGGCCTTCCTCAGAGGCCAATGCAGGCTCTTAGAGGCCGGCATCAGGTCTTTAGCAGCCAGTGCGGCGCCCTCATTGGCACCTAATAGGTTCGTCTTGGGACACCAGAGACAAAGGCCACCAGAGACCGGTGTGAGACGCTCAGACGCCGGTTGGGGCCCCTGAGGCCGGTTAGGGCCCTCATAGGCCAGATGTGGGGCTTCAGAGGTCGATGTGGGCTCTTAGCGGCCAACATGGGCGCTTGACCGCCACTGAAGTTCCCTCAGAGGTCAGTGTAGGACGCTCAAAGACCGGTGTGGGAGCTATATTCATAGCTGGGAGTGGTTTTTTGGGGGGCCTCGTGACGATCGAATAAGGGCCAGGGCCCCATACACCTATGGGGGCCCATCGGTTGTTTGAGGGGGGGGGGCAAATGATATGATGGCCCCCTTTGTTGGCCTTTGGGGGGGCATGGCCCTGATGTCCCGCCCCCCCGCGACCGCCACTATGTACACATTACACACAGGCCTCTGAGATTGCATACTAGCTCATGCAAACTCTATGCAGGCCCCGGAGGTCCCACGCTAATTTAAGAAACCAAGCTGGCATACAGCGTCACCACCGGGCTTCTGAGGTGCACAGCACCAACCCATCAGGTCTTACTTTAGGCGGCGTTCGATGTCTCCCGGACGGCAAAGATTCTTTGCCGTCCGGCCAATCCCGTCCAAGGTCAGCGGGGGCTCGGCTGCGGTTATGAAACGTGATTGGCCGGACGGCGTAGAATCTTCGCCGTCCGAGAGACATCGAACGCGGGGTTGGTGTCGTAGAGCCACGCTCATTTGGCAGGGCCCACCCGGCACTGCCGAAGAGGGTCTCATGCCAGCCATTGCTGGGCCTGCGAGAGCCTCAAGTAAACCCACGCTGATATTCCATATAAGATCCGGCCATACTCGTGAACCGGTGCCAGCGACACTGACCGCCAAAATGACAGAATGCGAAACTGAGCCTACTCATGAGTGAAATTTACGTCCTTTGATGGCGCAAGAAAGAAAATGAAACATACAAAAAGCTTTCTAGGACTTTTGTTCGATCTGAAAGGTGGGGCCAAAAGATAGTATGGCCCCACCTTTCAGCACCAAAGGGGGGGCCATGGCCCCCGTGGCCCCCCCCCCCTGGGACCGCCTATGGGTATGTAAGCCCTTAGCTGAATGACACTGATTACATTTGCCTTGTATAATGTATAGGCAACAGACCAGCGTCAATCACATGTCCTGAACAAATGAATGAATGTAAAATTTGGACTTCAAGCCAATGAGCGCCAGAACAATAACACGCAGAAGCTGAGCGGCTTGCAAATAGCAAATTATGCATGCAAAATTTCATTAGTATGAGCAATAGTATAAAACAATCGCAAAGATCGAACGGTCCACTAAGCAGTGAACAGGCTATTTGACTTCAGGGGTGACGAAAAATACACTGAGAGATTTGAGACTCTCTGTACGATGAATGTACGAACAGTGGCTCAGATTTCGGACTCACTTGCCAAGATCATTTACTGCTTGTATGCACTATTTAGAAAATTTATTTTGAAATAAGCCCAGATTTGATTCATCACCATGCGCAAGTTCAACAATAACTCATGTTAGCTTCATTAACCTTGCCGCACAATATTCTCAGGTCCATGGTTGGACCATTTTACATCCCTTCACGGCGCACAGGTCGAGATTTTACATTACATTGCATTGTATTGCACACCCAAACTGTGCAGCCATGATAAGCTCCATAAATATTGTGGATTAATTATACAAGTTAGGATTAGTTCTAATATATATAGCTGTTAGCTGACAGTACAATATTCAGCGCGTTACCAAAGCTGAGCTGTTTTATATGCCGAAGAGCTCTCTGCAGTTGGTTGATGGAACATTGAAATATTTCTATGTCGGTTGAACTGACACATTACAAAGGATATTGGGTTCCATTGAAACGCGTAGTGATGTTTTTAGTTACATACAATTTTGGGACAAAATAGATCCGATCCCTATAACATATGAGCCGCAGCTTCACAAGGCATGCACTAGGAAAACTGTCCCTCACCACTCTTCCGCCATGGGTCAACACAGCAGTAGCCCGCTCTTACCCTGAGTCATGATGGGTCCGCAGTCGCGCCGATGACCGACACTTACCCTGAGGCATGATGGGTCCGCAGGGGTCCTCCCGCTCGTGCACCATCATCAGTCCGCCGATCATCAGGTCTCCCTCGAGCTCCACCTTGAGCCTCGCCGAGCGGAGGTGTGCCTCTTTCATAGCCGTCAGCGGATCGGGCTGCGACCAGCGGCCCCCAGCCACGGCTGCCAGAGCGGCACACAGCAGCGCACAGACCCACATCGTCGTACCGCCACCGCTCATCGGTCGAGACCGGAGCGAGCGCGAGAGTGCCGCCGCCGGCGAGCCGGCCGACCCGCGTCGGCGACGACGCAACAGCGGCGGCGCGTCCGTCGGTGCCGCCGATACGGCAGTCGTGTCACGCGCCACATCAACCGGCGTCGGCCGACTGATGGCACGGCGGCCGCTGCCGGCGGCGGCGCGGAGGTCGGGTCGGGTCGGCCCCGGCACAGAGCTGAGTGCGGTGCCCGGTCCGCCGCGGGGCGCCGAGCGCCCGGAGAGCACGGCTGTGCGGGAGAGAGAGAGAGAGAGAGAGAGAGAGAGAGAGAGAGAGAGAGAGAGAGAGAGAGAGAGAGAGAGAGAGAGAGAGAGAGAGAGAGAGAGAGAGAGAGAGAGAGAGAGCTATTAGCCGCGTTTACATAGGGCTAGTTGCCAGATAGTGGAATTTCCACTAACAGAGGGTTCCCGAGAAATACGCCATGGCCAATATCCTGGACGCAATTCGGTGTGCAGACGAAAATATGCATGTGAGTGCTAGAAATTCGTAAATTACATGATTTCATTGACTTTTTTTGTTAAAAACACGTGATGACAAGCTCAGCAAATCTATTCATGGTGGCTTACGTGGCAAATTGGCTTTCCTTCGTGGGATAATGCCATTTTCATTAGCTCTACTTTGATTAGCGTATGACTGGTGTTCGTGTAAAATAAGCAATTTTCCCTATTTCCTTCATCAATTTGGTAGCTGAAACAGCTACCAATTTACTTCCACTATGACAGTTTCCAGTAACATATGCTACTGATTGGCTAATATTAGCCAATCAGATCTCTGGAGATCCCCGTAGTGCGTTACAACTATGACGCGGCAAAGACATATTTGGACATATCATTTCTGTATTTACGGAGCGAGCGAAGCGAGCGGAGTCTTTACTTAGATTAACGGAAATTTCTGAGTATGAGCGGCCGGCCGGCCGGCCGGCCGGCCGGCCGGCCGGCCGTGCGGACGCTTTTGCGAGGCTTATATCTCAGCAACCACTTGACCGATTTACATGCGGTAAATTTTGTAGGGTAGCTTCATTCCTTCTACCAAGTATTGGACTATTCCCGATGCATGTGGGTGACCCCTTATGCACGTGCCACGTGCAAAACGAAGAGGTGTCAGTTTTGCAATTGTTGCAATATCTCGGTAACTACTTGGCCGATTGCGCTGAAAGTTGGCATGTAGGTAGGCACCCACTAGGCACTGCATATCCATGTGCCAGGGTTGGGGTGCTGCTGCACGTGCGCACGTGCAGGGGTCGTTTCCAGATCTCGAGAACGGCTGGACCGATGGCGCTCAAATTTGGTACACGGTTAGGGACCAGTTAGTAGGGTGCCGTGCACAAGTCAGTTGGGACCCATTTTGCACGTGCGCACGTGCAGGGTGCCGCTTTCAGATCTCGAGAACGGCTGGGCCGATTGTGCTCAAATTTGGCACATCGCTAGAGACCGGTTAGTAAGGTGCCGTGCACAAGTCAGTTGGAGGTACCCCCTCGAAATTTCGCACGTGCAAGGCCCACCCTCTCGCTCGCTCCGTTAGTCGCCCCTAAAGGCGTTATACTGGTGATATGCCTATCTCAATCTACATACATTGCATTGGCCTTGCGTGGATGTCATGAAGAGAAATATTTTGGTCTAAGGTCAGTGAGACGCTAGTTGCTACTCTTCTATACGCTATGCCCTTTTTCAATATGATTACGGTGTCGTGTTCTGACTGCAGACTCCTGGTAAGTTTGTGCAGGTCTCACGGAAGGGGCGAGGGCGCTCTTTCGCTTTTCGATCCAGCAGGCAACAACAATGATTTTTTGTAAGGGAGTATCAATGGAAGTCACAAATTTATTTAAAAGTTGGTAAAGTTGTTTTGGTTTAAAAGCTGGTGCATTTGCCTTGTCAAGGGTATGGAACCTCAATATATTGCTAAGTCTCATATTTCCAGGATGTTGATAGGTATGTTTGGAAAAAGATGTTTTGATAATGTCGAGAAATGTAGCAAGGACTTTTCTATCTTCAAATCAGTTGCTCGCTACAGTTTCATGATTTTAAGGTGTGCATGAAATTATGAGAAAAGGTAAAAAAAAATGAACAAAAATTTCGTTAATTCATGATGCATGATAGAGCAAATAATTTTCTTTCGTTGATTAAAGCAAGGCTTGCGACTGAACCATAATGTGCATTGACTGCTGCGCAGTGTCCCAAAATTTGTAGATGTGGGTGGGAAACGACATCCAAATGCAAATCATTTTCCACTCTCACCTCCAGTTTTCAAGCCCAATTTTCCACTCCCAATTCCACCGAGAAGGAGCAATTGCGGGAATGGTTGTTTTACATGTGCTTTGACACAGTTGCAAAATAGGTACCTTCATACGTATATCATAGAAGTAATTACTGGTTATTATTATTGGAGAATTTTTTTTTGCAGCATTCTCGTCAAGTACAATACATTATCTTCTTTAAAGGAAATAGTTCACTTTTTAACATGGGTTTTGAACTGGAATAGCAGTTCCGTAGCCTGGGCTGAGACGAGCATAAATCAGGAGCTTTTACAGCCCAACGATCACCCTAGGCAAAGATATTCTATTTCTCGTCCCGAAAAAGGTGTCTTGCGTTGAGGATGTGTGCCTTGCATATATTCGCATCCAGTATGAAAAGAGCATGGGTACCGAAAATTCTTCAGAAACTAGAGAAATTATCTACGAGAACTCTAGAGAAATTCTCGTACTGATCAATAAGGACATTCAGCAGCAGCAGATCACCCAAATACCGGTGGCCGCGATAATTTCTCTAGTTTCTGAAGAATTTTCGGGACCCATGCTCTTTTCATACTGGATCGCCTGTGCCTTACAGAAACTGAAAAGTCCTTCCTATATCAAAATATAGAAAATAATCTTTTGTTATAAATAGGTTTTATTTTCTTTGCTGATCATTTTGAACATAAAAAATCATAAATCCATTGCAAAAAAATAATTTCGTGAAAGTGAACTATTTCCTTTAAAAGGACCATAGTGTGAGGTGTAAATACAGTCTGTAAGGTTGTCCAGACTAATTGTGCCCCTATTTGTACAGCCTCGGCTGGAGCCGCAGCAGGCGCGCTACGGGGTTCCGGCGCCGACGAGCAGCCGAGCGCAGCAGGCCCGCCACCGGACTCCAGCGCCGACGAGCCACCGGCCGCAGCGGGCGGGCTCCAGGGTTCCAGCATCGATGAGCCGCCGGCCGCAGCAGGCGCGCCACCGGGGTCCGGCGCCGACGAGTAGTCGAGCGTAGCAGGTGCGCCACCGGACTCCAGCGCCGACGAGCCGCCGGCCGCAGCGGGCGCGCCACGGGGGGCCGGTGCCGACGAGCGGCCGAGCGCAGCAGGCGGGCCCCGAGGTTCCAGCGCCGAGCCGCCGGCCGCGGCAGGCGCGCCCCGAGGCTCCAGCGCCGATGAGCCGCCGGCCGCAGCAGGCGCGCTACGGGGGTCCGGCGCCGACGAGCAGTCGAGCGTAGCAGGCGCGCCACTGGACTCAAGCGCCGACGAGCCGCCGGCCGCAGCGGGCGCGCCACGGGGATCCGGTGCCGACGAGTAGTCGAGCGTAGCAGGTGCGCCACTGGACTCCAACGCCGACGAGCCGCCGGCCGCAGCGGGCGGACTCCAGGGTTCCAGCATCGATGAGCCGCCGGCCGCAGCAGGCGCGCCACGGGGGTACGGCGCCGACGAGCAGCCGAGCGCAGCAGGCGCGCTTCTGGACTCCAGCGCCGACGAGCCGCCGGCCGCAGCGGGCGGACTCCAGGGTTCCAGCATCGATGAGCCGCCAGCCGCAGCAGGCGCGCCACCGGGGTCCGGCGCCGACGAGCGGCCGAGCGCAGCAGGCGCGCTACTGGACTCCAGCGCCGATGAGCCGCCGGCCGCAGCAGGCGCGCCACGGGGGTCGGTGCCGACGAGCAGCCGAGCGCAGCAGGCGGGCCCCGAGGTTCCAGCGCCGAGCCGCCGGCCGCGGCAGGCGCGCCCCGAGGCTCCAGCGCCGTTGAGCCGCCGGCCGCAGCAGGCGCGCTACGGGGGTCCGGCGCCGACGAGCAGTCGAGCGTAGCAGGCGCGCCACTGGACTCAAGCGCCGACGAGCCGCCGGCCGCAGCGGGCGGACTCCAGGGTTCCAGCATCGATGAGCCGCCAGCCGCAGCGGGCGGGCTCCAGGGTTCCAGCATCGATGAGCCGCCAGCCGCAGCAGGCGCGCCACCGGGGTCCGGCGCCGACGAGCAGCCGAGCGCAGCAGGCGCGCTTCTGGACTCCAGCGCGGACGAGCCGCCGGCCGCAGCGGGCGCGCCACGGGGATCCGGTGCCGACGAGTAGTCGAGAGTAGCAGGTGCGCCACTGGACTCCAACGCCGACGAGCCGCCGGCCGCAGCGGGCGGACTCCAGGGTTCCAGCGCCGACGAGCTGACGGCCGTAGCGAGCGCGCTCCAGGATTCACGCACCGACGAGCCGCCGGCCGCAGCAGGCGCGCTACTGGACTCCAGCGCCGACGAGCCGCCGGCCGGAGCGGGCCGGCTCCAAGATCCACGCACCGACGAGCCGCGGGCCGCCGCGGCCGGCCTCCATACGGAGGACGACACAACATCACCGTTCAGGTAATCCGCGCTCCAGCTGCAAGGCGCGGCCGACTCGGGGTAAAGCGGACGTACAGAGGTACGAATCACTCTCCGCCCACCCCCGCCAGCCGCGCCTACTGAAAATGGGCCGCGCAGCCCTTAGCAAAATGTCTAGGCGTATTGCATTTGAAGCAAATAACCTCTGCAGCACTTGTCTGCTGTCGATCCTTACTGGGCTTGGTACATTCCCTACGCCAGTGTCCCTCCAGGCCACAGTTCGGACACGGCCCCGGCGGTGAACGTCTGTGAGTCCTTTCCTGTCGTCCTGCCTGGGGTGCATCCACCTTCTTCTCCAGATTCGCCACAACCAGGGACAGCTTGGATACCTCATCCTCCAGGCG